CATCACCACCACATGCAATTTTCATTCTGTGAGGAACAAACTGGGGACCAAGACTATTCCATGGTACCACAGGTCTGTCAAGAGCTCACTGGCAGAGTGAAGCACTTCTGAGTGAATTCATCCTGAATCACCAAGCAAATGCTGTTCACATTCCCTCAAAGGGGAATGGTTTTTGGGATATCACACCCATTCCACATCCTCATCACCCCACAGGCTGTCCAGCACACTCAGCTCCACAACCCTGCTTGTTCTGGTAGGTGCTGTGCAAGCTTTACTTGGTGTTACAGCACAACTGAATAAATGCAGTGAGTTTACAAGTGCCTGGAACCCCCACCAAGTAATAACAGAAAAGTCAGAGACACTCAGGTGCTCCATGGAACTGTCCGGGGCATCACCACTGCAGAAACAGAGGCAGAGTGCTGGCTTTGCCTGGTGGGCAGACTCAAAACTGAAAGAAACACAGCACTCATTAAACCATGTATTTCAAGAAATTATTTCCAAGCTGCATTGCCATTAGAAGGTGAGACTGGCTCCTTAACAATATTGCTTTTCCAGGTGGTATTGCTTTTCCTTTTGGCTCAGCCCTTGATCCCTCGCATCAAGGCTACTTACAGAGAGGAGTCCGGGCAGAGGCTGGGTCAGGTCCTTTCCCTCTGAAGCACAGCTGGGCATCACTGGTGGCACTACATCCATACTGATGTACCCAAAGTGAGACAGCATCCCCATGCTGCTCCATTTTGGATACTGGACAATTAAAATGCTCAGTTATACACAGTTAAGGAAGCCTCAGCTGAGATCTATGGAGTTGGAATTACTGTTTTAAAATTACCTTCATGTATTTTCTGCTTTCCAGAATGCTCCCAAAGAACCTCAGGCACACAATTTATTGCTGGGACCAGGAAGCAGAGGATGATTCATGAAAATAGGTGTTACTGTTACCCAAGACAGTCATGACCTGTCCTATGTGCTTGCTTGCAACTGTGCAGATCCAGACACTGTCTGGACACCCTGGAGCAGAAATTTTCTGGAGAAACAGCACTTGCACTAATGCTGCAATCCATCATTTGCACTATGCCATAAGCTGACTTAACTCCAAAATACGATGAAGTGCACTGCTAAACCTTTGTGTGGGCTTCATGGGCACACTGTGTTCACTTATTATTCTATTTATGTTCTTAAGCAAACATGAAGAAACTGAGAAGTCTTCTTTGTGGCATGAACCAAAGTAGATTCTAGTGGAAAAACACATCTTTCCACCCTGCACAAGGGACCTGAACAACGCTTTAACATTCAAAATTATTTTCACATGAGAATTCCCACTTAGAGGTTTCCAGTTTATGGTCACTGATTTCAAATTAATAAGCAGAAGGGTATTTAAATAAAACATAATACAGAGCTTTGTGAAGTAAAGCTGCTAATCTCATTTAGATTGCTTCATTTCCAGCTCCACAACACTCAGCTTCCAGTCAGTAGCCTTGCTGAAGGCTGTGTGTGCCTAAGTTTTTTGTTGTCAGAAATCTGCATCAACAGCACTGATGCAAAGAGCCCACTAACACTCCAATAATGCAAGTACACATGAAATAAAGCAGATTTAAAAACCATCAAGACAATGCATTTTTCTCATTTATTCAAATCTTCTGCAGGAAGTAAACACTGAAAGATTTAAAAAAACTTCACACTGCAGTATGTACAGTTTTGTGACATCACATGAGGAAATTAATTTCTAATAAAAAAAATGAGACCAGTTAAATTACTGAAGACACATCACAATAAAACTGGTTGTGGTAAAATCCCAAATTCTTATGTATGGCAATGAAAATCAATACTCCTTTGTTTTACAGGGATGGAATAGTCCAGGTACAATATTTCAGTTATGCAAAATGGAGTCCTGAACTTACATGACTTATTATAGTTGTATGAGCACTTCATGTTTTAAAAGTAGGTTTGCAATTTTTTTCCCAGACCCTTTTGAATTGAAGCACATTCTTTCACAAAGCTAAAATACCACAGCAGAAGTCATGTCCAGAAGTGGAATACTGTTGTGTTTTGAACTGACCTGACTTGTTAAGACTTTTTTTTTTTTTGCCAACGCACAGATGCACAGGGTCCCCCATGCACTTTTCATGCAGCAGTTAATCACAACTTTAAATAAAAGAATTTTTTCTATACATTCTTCCAGACTTGCAACTGTATACATACATGCAAAAGTTTTTAAACCTATGTGATCATATTTACACTTATACATGGAATATACATAACAAAAAAGATTAAAAGGTTTTTTTTTCCTTTGCATTAGAACAATACAAAATATGTATTTTTCATTAAGGAAACCACTATTTACATCACCTTTTAAAAACCAATTTCAACATATTATAGGCGTAACAAGTCAACATATTTACATTATATATAAATATATATATAATATATACTTACCAGTTTACTCCTCTGTAAGATGTGGCAGAGAACAAACTGGTAATATCATGTCACTGACGTCAATGAGAGCTGTAATACTTTCACCAACATTGAACAGGGAAAATTTAAACCACTCGTTTCTTTCTTTTAAAAACATTTGTAAATTAAAAATTTAAAAACTTCACTAAGAGCAAATGGCTACGAAAAGTAAAAGTTATGGCTGAATTCCCTTTTGATCTCATATAAACTTCTCCAACTGAGCTGCCCAGCTCTGTGGTATCAGCAGAGAAACCCTCCAGCTCTCCGCTTTTGATTCTGTGGTCAAGCCTTACCCACCGCCTTTTCCTCAAGCTTGGGCAGAGGAGACACTAGGACCTGGATATCTGAGTGCCAGACACTTCCCTCTGGAAAGAAAAGGCCAATCTGCGTGGCAGCTCCGAGTCCATCCCCAAATGCAGGCGCTGCTGACGCCCCTCCAGCAAGGCACCGGGGTCTCACAGCTCCAGCTGCAGCCCCAGCCCTCCCAGCCAAGGCGGGCAGAGTTAATTCAGGCTAAAGCTCCAAGGGGCTGCCATTGCACTCTCAGTGTGGCACAGACACAATTCCCTAACTCACTTCCTCCTGCTCTGAGAGCTGGAGGCAGCTGTCCCCAGTCTGTGCTGGCTGTACCTGGGATGTGCCCTCCCTTCCCGCCCTGCTCCTTGGATGGGGAGATCCCACACCAGCACCCCCTGATCCTGCACTGCTCCGCCTGCACAGCTGCTGCTGCCAACATCTGCCAAGACCCCATTTTGCTCCAAATTTGTACTCTGAACACCTAGAGGGAACAGGAGTTGCTGAGAGTACCGAGGGCTACTCAGGAGATGACCTTGGTTTGCAGTTCATCTGCAGGGACTGGTGGAAATCAGGGATCTTAGAGCTGCTTGGGAAAACATGGCCAGCCCTACCAACAAACCCAGCTCCCACACCCCTCTTCTCTGATGGAAAAGTCCCCAAGGAAAGAAATAGCAACTCCTTTTTACTCACCCATGCTATACAAGACAAAAAACAGTTAAAGAGCCTTTGGTCCTAAGGTGTCAATGCTGTAAATGTGGATGGGGTAGATCCAGAGAAGACCTCTCTTCCCTAGGGAGGGGTAACGCCAGGGATACTGGAGAATTCCATACAGGAGGAAACAGGTGTTGCCCTCCTAGCAGCTGACTGAGCATTCCCTTGGCATGTCCTGCCCTCTCCCAAGGGCCCCATTCTTGTTACCTGCTGTTTGAGAGGGCAATGCCTACAGGAGATAAGATTCTTCCATGAACACCATGTCCCAAACTTAAATTCTTGTATATCAGGGTTTACTGACGTCTGTGAGGATGGCAATACCCTTTTGTTAACATCAACTCAAAAGAAAGCTAAATCCTTAACTGGTCAAACTGTTAAAATTTTAACTTAACTGTTTTACAAAACTTTCAAAACTAAATGTTCAAAAGTATATATTATAACAATAGACTACCCTAGAATAAATACAAAGGTCAGCACATTGCTCGATTCCAGTATTATTTTTTGTTAGGGTCAGAATCTCTTCCCCACTCTTCATCTCAACTTAGCTTTGGAAAAGTTTTTTCCAACAGATAATTCCACATCCTCTCACGCTGCATTTTTCTGTGGAGCTCTTCAAGCAAATTATAGCCCTGTATTTAGTCTGGGGACCATCTATTATTCTATATTGTATATATTTCCTACCTATATACACATTGTTTCAAGAAAAATAATCAATTAAGACTTTAAAAGACATTTAATGGATGGAACAAATACCATCTTTTTAATATTTCTGCTGGGTTGACTCATATAAAAAGAATTCAGTTTCACTGTCAATCCAAAATATACTTTATCTCATTAATGATTATTCTATGAGACGTCTGAATTGTCATTGGGCTACTTATAAATGCAATATTAAAGACAAACAAAATTTTATTCATTCAGACAATGACATTTAAAATGATATTAGATTTGTGTGAAGGTTTTAAAATATAAATCTTCTTTGTACAGCCCATTAATATATTATGCTTCACCGAAGTAACATAAAAATATATCTTTAAATTGCTCTGTTATTTCTCATAAAAACCAGGGGGAATGTTTTATACCAGATACTGCCAAATATTTGTGTTCCCTAAAAGAAGGTATCCCCCAGAGGGGGGCAAAACAGAATAGTGGTGCATTTTCCAGCTGTCAGACAGAAGAAGTCCCTTTCAGTAGGAACTGCACTGGAAAGAGGAGGAATTGATCTCGGGCTGGGGACAGGGACAAGAGGGGGACAACAGCCTGCTCTGCCTCAGCAAGCCAGGAGTCTGGGAAAAGCATCTCGGAAACCAAACCAGATGGAAAAGAGCAAAATGCCCCGTCACTCATGTCTGCTATGCAGGCATGGGATGCACAGAAACAGCAGTTTTGTCATGTCACTGGCCTGCAAGGGTGAAAACAGACAAAATTAAACCAGAGTGCAGCTCTCATTATCTGTGCAAGCCAACTGCTTAGCTGCTTGCTGATGGCAGAGAGGATTATCTGTGAAATCACGAAGCCACAGAGAACTTCATTTTTTTTTTTTTTTTTTAGAGGAGTAAAAAGTTCAGCAAAACTTCTTCTTGCCAATAATTCACATAATTCAAAGGAGCTGGATTTTGTCCTCTTCCTGCCCCCAGAGAAATAAGGGCTGCAAATGGAGTTAACACTGACAGTGCTAACGGGAAAGCAGAGCCACACGACTCTTCCCCAGCCAGCAATTCTTCTAAGATGTCTCAGCTCTGACTGCAATTTTCAGTTCCTCCCATCTCGGGCTGATACTGCCAGATGTTACAAATCACAGCACAGGTGGGGATTGAGGAAAAGGGCAGGGAAGGATTTCTCAGATATATCCCACTATCCATTACAGAACATGACAAAACCACAGTTTTATCCTCAGTGCTACCTGGGAAATTATTCTAAAGCCAGATTTTCTGCAGTGAAAGGGTAGTGCATTAAACCATGTATCAGCTGCTCAGAGAGTAATAAATATTGGCAGATTATAGATTCTTTTCCCTGGTTGTAGGAAGAGGCCAACACATTTTTCATTAAAATCCTATTCCATCTTAGAGTGGAAGTCTGATGTGCTGCTCTAGTGCAGTTGGTGTTCTTCCACAGGGAAGCAGGATGGTGCTGAACACACAATTCTGTTCATCCCCTTCACAAGCTTTCCAGCATTTTCCTCACTGAATACATGTACTAAGCCTTCTCAATCACACTACTCCAAGAGGCATTTTAGCTTTCCCCTTTTAGGCAGGAAAGTGACAGGAATGTGCCGACAAAAGGACTCGTGCAGTACTTGCACAGCCCATGAAAATCTGCCTTTTTTTATAAAAACCTAGAAAAAACCTTTAATTCTAACTAGTAACTCATAACTATGGCTAAGAATTCTGAGGAAGGCATTTGTTGAGAGCAGGGCAAGGAAGAAAAATAGATTTTACACCACTATTCTGGCAGGACCACAAACAAGATTTAAAAATAACAATACAAATTTTGGAAGCACTAAAAAATACATTTCAGTGCACTTCAATTATTAACACTGACGCAGGCTTTCCAATATGACGAGCTAATACCTTGGACGGACTGCTCCACTTCTTAAAAGTTATTCTTAAAATTTCACAAAACATATTAAAACATTCAAAAAAAAAAAAAAAAGAAAAAAGTACACTGTCTCTATGCTCAGGCTTCAAAAAAATAAGGATTATTTTACAGGGAGGGAGGAAACGCAGCATTACCACCACCTAGGCTGTACGCTTACACTTTATGTTATACCAAAAGCTTGCAGATCCAAATAAGACTCTGATCAAAGAGTACTCATAACTTAATCTGATACATACAGAAACGTCTTGTACAAATTACAACCCTTCTAGTTTCCTTGTGACAATCTACTGTAAAGCAAATTTTATCTACATGTATTTTAAATAACATCACCAGAAAAATAAAAAGTTTATCAAATGAAAACATTTCAATTAGACCATGCTTTTGTTTTTTAAAATCATGCTCAATTTATACAGTAGTGAAGTTCATACTCATTTTTCTTTTTTTTTTTTTTTAACAAAGATTCAAAACCGCTGATTGTAAACTCACTGAGGAGGCTGCAGTTTATTCTGGCTCTTTTTTGATTGTTCGCACTTTTTCCAGAAGTCCATGCACTTCTCCATTCACACCACCGTGCTGATGAGAGGTGTTACTCCCCATATGGCTGTTGTAAGGGCTTCTCAAGTTACTAAAAGGAGTTTTGAGCTCCGGCTCAGATGTCAACTCCTCTTTGATTGTAACGCGAGTCGAGCTCTCGGTAAATGAAGGCTCATTCCAAATTTCTTTGTCGTGTGCTTCTTGGCTGCTGACAGAGCTGCCACCTTTCTGTAACATGTAGTACAATATCGGGTTGGTTTTGGTCAGTCTCGGGGAGTCTTTCTCGTAATCATTCTTGTCCATGCCCGTGATCACCCATCTGATGGGGCCCTTCTCACTGGGCACGGAGCACATGCTCAGCTGGTCGGGCTCCAGCCTGGACACCGTGCTCCCCAGGTGTTCGGGGAAGGGGGAGCTGGCCGGACTTTTGACTGCTACGGGGTACTGAAATGTTCTGTGATCTACACAATTGTTCTGCTGCACGGGGCTTCCCACCAACGATCTTACTGAAGAAATGGTGAATTCAGGTTTATTGACTGTTGCACTGGTTTTGCTTCCTTTTTTCTTGCCCTCTGTTAGTATGTTATTCCTATGTTGTGACAGATCTCTCTCACAGTTTTCTGAGAGAAGCAGCTGTTTCAACACATTAAAGCCTTTACTATCTCTAGACCAACTCCTATTTTCAGTTTCACTATTTGAACCATGACTTACACCGTATTTAAATTCAGCATCACTTCTGCTGAATTTCAGTTCTTGCTGGTTCAGCAAAGGCCCGTACAGCGCCTCGGTAGGAGAAGCGTGATTGTTTCCAGCATCAGACACATTACTTTTCATCTTTTTTAATGGGCTTTCCAAAGGCTCAGCATGAAGCTTCCTCTTCTTCGGTACTGTGCAAAGACTCTTGGATTCGAGGTGTGTCAGCTCGTTGTTTCGGTGACTCCTGTCAGGCTCATCTGCAGGGTAACTGTCTTGATTCTGTCTCAGCAACCTACTTAGCAGACCATTTTTGGAAAAAGAGAAATCTTGAGGTGAAAGAGGCTCAGATTTCACCTCCTCGGATGCTGGAGAAGCAGCTGTGTTTCTCTGCAGTGAATGAGCAAACCCTTGGAATTTGTTAACCTTGCATTCTCTTACTTGTTGTGCATTTGAATTATAAGGAACATTTGATTCGTCAGATGGTTCCGTTTTTATTTTCACCGTCAATATTTGCTCATTCAAAGCCTTGTCTGTCTGTTCTTGAGAACTTTCATCTCTTAAAAGCACCCTCTCTTTCTTTTCACTTTTACCTTTATTGGGAGTTCCCAGAAGCAGCTGAAGGACAGTGCGCCTTTCAAGGAGATTTTCTATTTCCGAACCTGGAAGTCCTTGTTCAGCGGGTGCGGGCTGACAACTGAATATTTTGTTATTTTCTTCATGCATACTCAATTTATTCGTAAGCAGAGGGCTGTTCAATCTATCAATCAAGCCCACAGGTTTGTCCATGTTCCCTGCCAGCAGCTGTTTGCTAGCTCTTTGTTCCTCACTCGACATGGAACTCTGCATGCCGCACTGAGCCAGGTTCTGCAGCAGCTTGCTGGCGCTGAACGCCGACGAGTTCTGGGGACTATCAGTCCTGCTCAGCTTAGCTCCTTGAATTTCCTTGCTTTTGGACAGGTCTATCAAGTGCTTAGATGCAGAATTCATCAGTCTGTCTGTCTGGATGCTGCAGGCATAGGGCGGCGAGCTGCGCTTGACAGCCATTGACTGGTGAGAGAGGTTTATAGGAGAGTCTGCTTTTGTGGAAGCCAGCAAGGGCGGAGTGCTTAACGGAGTCATGCGGTTGGCACTGGGACTGTCAGCAACAGGAGTCCTTTTCCCAGTCTGTACAGTGAATTTTGCCACATCAGCTGTACTGTGTGGTCCCTGAGGATCGTTACTCTTGTCTACCTGTTCTTCACTCTTATGCCCAAGTAACAGCTGCAGTAGTGTTACTTTCTGGTGGGGATTCAGCTTAGAAGCTTTCGGAGTGTCTTTCTCCTCCTTGCTCTCTGGACAGGAAATTTTTGGATCCCAGTTACGAAGCAAGGACTGAGTGAGGTTATCCAGCGATGCAGGTGGACCTGCATCTGGCTTATCTGTCCTCTGTTTAAAGGATAGGTCTATAGGAAGACAGTTAGAATGGGAGCTTTCGTCATCACTGCTGTCTTCTGTAAAACTGGGATTGTTGTCTGAATACTCATCAACAGTTGTCGGTGTGCTGCTGTCTTCAAAAATGCTGGCTCTCTCACTCTGCTCACGCCCTTTCACGTGCTTGGTGGTGTTCTGGCTTTTCAGCAGATGTAAGAGCAAGCTGTTGCTGGGAGAGGTTTTCAGGTTACTCCTTTCCACAGTACTTTTGTATCCCACAGTTTTGGGAGGCGAGTGCATGATTCCCACCGAACTCTGAAACGGTGCCACGCTGCCTTTGCTAGGGACTGCTTTGGGGGACGATCCTGCCTGACCATTGAGATGGCTTGTCATTCCTTTGGCCAAACCAAATTGGCCCATGTCCTTCTGAGCGCTCTCCTGCAGCCTGGCCATGGCTGCAAGCCTCTCGCTTGCAATCTGGTTGGCATTTTGTGCTTTTAGAGCGTGTTCCCTGGAGTACTGCTGCAAGTGGGCCTCGCTGGAGAGCAGCAGGGCCAGCTGGCTGCACGCCACGCTGGGCTTGGGCGAGGCAGCAGGGCTGGATCGTTTCTCCACCATGCTTGCAACAGCTTGTAACCTCGCAGCACACGACAGGGGCTCGTTCACCACCTTGGGGCTGCCCTGCACCGCATGAGGAGATTCTATAAACCTCTCTTTGGGCAGGTTCTTGGTGATGTCAGGCAGGCTGTTGTCCAGCTTCTGATCTTTTGCTTTGCTCTTCTTCAGCAGAGTCTTCAGGTGGCTGGATGCAACACCATAGCACCTTAAATCTTTCTCCACTTGCAAAGAATCATGGCTAAGAGAATAGCCCTGCTCCTTAAGACTCTGTCTAATCTGCTGTGACAGAGCAACACTCTGCAGCCTAGAGCTGAATGACTGAAGCAAAGAGGCAAGTAATGTGCTATCCTGTTTGCCTTTAGGCACATTTTCAACCATGCCAGCCAACAAAGCTTCCTTTTTTCCATCTAAATCCACGATGGAATCAGACAGCCGCCTTCTCTTTGCTGCATTCCAGTCTTCTGAAGACTGCAACAGTCTTGCTTTTTTGAGGTGCAGCATGCCGGATCCCCGATACGTACTCGTGTTGAGAACTGGACCATTACTCTGACAGCTGGGAAATATATTTCCTGAAATCTTAAAGTTTTGATCCTCCCCACTATGCCCAGTGGACTTTTTGTCAACTGCAGTACCTGAGCCTCCTGCTGCTTGATGCATTAGTAATCCCTCTAGGTAAGTTAGAACAACAGAATCCTGGTGCATCTCAGAGCCAAGCTCTTCTCCATGAGTCATGTTCAATAAAAGTTTCAAAAAGGCTCTGTTTCTGTTCACTTCAAAGGCTAGTTTTGCTCAATCACGATGCAGGGTTAATAACAGGTAGATGTCTACAGTGTTTTCTTAGAGACCTTCAGAAACAACAGAAAATGTATTATACTAGGCAGGCTTCTCCCAGTGTACACTGTTTGATGAGCCAGGTTTCCAATCATAGCAATCCTCAGCTGAGATCTAGGATATTTATGGACGATGTCTAGGAGAACACTCAAAACATGGTTTCACAGAAAAACAGTTCCATCAAATATTTGCTGCCTTCTTGCTTCTGGAGGCCAGCTTGCTTTTCTTCCTTTTCCATCTCCACCAAGCACATAAAATTCCTAAGTCAGAAACACAAAACAGAAAGAAAACATTTAGGATTAAGATATGATTGCATAAAACATTTTTTCCTTAAAAGAAAATCCAAACCCAACCCCCCATGCACTGTCTTAGGCAGAGATTCAGGATACATAAACAACACATATTCCAGAAGAAACTAAAAATCAAATAAAGAACAAAATACATGGTATCCAATTCAAAGAACATTGTGAAAACAATTCTGAGATGAAGTTTTACACAAAAATTAAGCTTACTTATCGTAAGCACAGCTACTACAAGCTTTCACTGAACTTTACTATTCTGCAGCTAAAAATAAGGAACAGCAAACCTGAAGGAAAATCTGAAATCACTCTGAACACAGTTTAAAAAAAATCAATTGAATTTTACTTCAGAGTTGCATGAACTTTTCTTCTGTAAATGTAAATACACAGGACATGCAGCCTTATCACTCTTAAACTGAACTAATAGGAAAAGGCAGGCCTAAAGTCAATGTTTAATTTCAGGTTGCATATGTTCTGAAATAACAGAACAGACAGCACCATATATATGATACATTTCTGTTTGGCAGGTGGATGGTATTGCTGAAAGTAGAAACAAAGTTGTTAGCACTGCCCAATGCACCAATGCAAAATCCAGTATGGTAACACAACAGGGGTGAAATCTGCTGTTCTTACAACACCCAAACACCACAAATTATTAGGACAATCATGTGATAAGAGTGGGGAAGAGGTTGCTTATGCTACTGATGCAACATAAATCCTGGCATCAAAATCCTCCCTTCCCTGGAGGATTTTCACCTTTGCATTATTTCTGTACATGAAACACACGATGCCAAAACTAAACCAAACCAGTTCTTCCCTGAAGTCTTGTTATTCTTCCAGAGCATGTAATATCTCTACTAAATACCTCCTTGGATGGGGCAGTGTGGAATAAAAAGCTGTTTTAAAATGCACAGCAATGCCACTTGTGCTGGATGCATCCCTGCAGTTTCACTCACAGGGCTGGTCAATGGCAGCAGGAACATTTCAGTCACCACACCTCAATAATGAGACCATTACACCACACATGCATCCTCCTTCACTCACTCAGCACTAAACTGGCTAAATAAATATTCAACACAAGCAAAGGTAAGTGTCCTTCTGCATACTGAACTCTCTAATTTGCTTTCATGGGCTAAAACTCCATTGAAAATTTGTATTTACAAGTTTAAAAGGGATGTACACAGATGAAATCCTTGCCTCCTCAAAGTGAATGAATATTTTATGATTGATTTCCCAGAAGCAAGTTTTAAATTCAAAACCTACAGGCAAATAGAAGTCAGAAAATAATCAGATCTTAAAAATGTAAAGAATAAGAACTACTAAATAGCTGTAATATTAACTGTCCTTAATCTCCCTGGGCAAATATTTCCTTCCTTGGTTTTAAGTCATCTAGAAAAACTCTAAAAATGGAGATATCTTAAAAAAAGAAGCCAAAACCAAACCCAAACAAAAAATCTAACCAGTAGTGCATTGTAAACGTGTGTATCTATGCATTTAAATATCAAATGCAAAGCTGTTAGCTATTATTGAGGTCTCAGTACTTCTCTCAGAAATACATTAACCAGCATTTTCAGATTTACCTGTGGAAGACACAGTGCTCCTTCAAACATGCAAGAACTTAAATGTGGATTCAGCTAACTGAAAATGACTGATCATCTTACTGCTCCTTCAAAAACCTCTGTACCTCTGAGTGGGCTTTTACAGTTTCAACCCAAAAAAAGAATAAAAGTCACAAATAACAAATCCCTAAAAAAAAAACCCAAAACCCCAAGATTTCCAATAAAACTATTAAATATTCAGCTACAGGAACAGCAATACAATTCGACTAATTTCCTCAAATATTTGGGAACACACTTTATCTGGAGAATATATTTTTCCAGCTTCCAAAAGTATTGCACTGAAGACAATAAAATTGAAATTATGTCAGGATTTCTGACAATCTGGTAAAAGCAAGGCTTACAGGACACCCTTAAGGTACAGCCCCAAACAAAAGCATCACTAAGCCAATATTCAATACAACTTTACTCACACCTTTGGGTACTTCAAAAGAGACAATGCATTTATGCAAATCCCTCAGGTACTCCAAAAGCCTCTTGCAGGAGATGACACTTGTAGCCAGTACAGTTTATATACAATAAATATTCTAAGAAGTGTTCTGCTGCCTTTTTCATTTTATTCTTTTATTTTAATTACCCAGTGCTAGGGAAATACTGATAAATTTAATGAAATCGGGTTGCTGCAAAGAAGCTTCTTTAAAGATAATGAAATCTAGAAAGCACTTGACACATTAGAACAGGACATCAGCAATGCTTTTAAAAAGCCTCTTTTGATTTAGGGCTGTAACAGATCTTACAGTGCTAAAATCTCGCATGACAATGTTCATCTGAGGTGTTGTCATGACAAATCCAAAGCAGCTTTGGAAATTAATGCTCAGCAGGACACTAAGGCGACCATTCAGCTACCTTCTAAATACATACAAAGTGTATAGAAGAACTTCCCAGGACCCACTGAAATGTTAATATTTTTTCTTTAAATTAAATATTTAAGAAATTACCAGAGCAGTGCTAAGGAAAAAGAAAAGAAAGTTAAAAGAAAAGGCAGAAGAGAGAGAAAGGAGAAGTCACCCACCAACAAATTTCTTATTTCCCAGCAAGGGCCGAAGCAACTGCTAAGATCTGAGACTCTCTAGACCTAAATATGATATTTAATTACTATGAAAAAATAAATTGCTAAGTTCATGAGTTCATGTGCTTTCCTGACCACAACTACTGTAAATGCAGTCTTTTTTTTGTCACTTCTACTGTTTTCTCCCAGACATCTGTGCCATAAGAAATAAAGCAGATTGTTGTGCAGAACCTCCAGGAGCAGCAACCCAGCTCATTAAGCCTCATATTTACCTAGACAAAACCAAAGCAGCAGCAGAATCCAGAGCACAAACGCTGTAACCTGGTGAGACACTCCCCAAGTGAAGCACACCATGAGAAATCAGTTCTTCAGCCTTTTAAAGTGTGCCTAAGGAGAAGCTGTAGGCAGTATAGGGAAAATAAGGGAATATTAAAATGTTCACTGAACTGCATACATCCAGAAAATTAATTCCACTTTTGCAGTTGTTGAAGTTTTTCTTTGTTTATTTGCAAACTATAAATATATTTATCCACCACAAAGGATATTATTGATATATGTTGTTATTACTTAAAAGGAATAATAAAAACAAACTTCAAGATCCTTTGCTTACCACATATTACTGCTGTAGAAGATAATGAAATCTGAGAACACAGCTTCTAATATGTTAAAGCACAACAGAACCAATTGCTTTTTGCTCCTGAATATTTGTTTTTGATTTTTAACAAATTTTTTGAATGAATGAAAACCTCAACTGCAAACCTGATACTCTAAACAAACAGCAGACTTTTAGTTCACCGAATAGATATTTCCTGCTATTTTAGAAATTCTGGACAGTTCACAATTTAACTAGCAAAACCACATTTGTGAGACATTTTCCCAATATCTCAAACCAGCATTTGCAGTTAAATCCTTTTGCTAAATGGAACCGAGAACCACAGTAAATTAACAACACTAGACAAACATAATTTGAGTACAAGGGTTACATAATCTATTAGGTAATTCAAAAAACTTGGTATTATCAAGGTGTCTTCTTCTGAAGTTTCAATTCAAGAGTGTAGGAAAAAATCTTACAGAAACCATTAAGGTATTCATTTAGGAAACTGGCAATGGCCAGCAGATTGCCCACATGAACATTTATTAGAAGACACATTACCCAAACTCATGCACATTGTTAGAATGATTAATAGAGGTGGAGATTATTATATGTTCACACAGATAAAACATTTTTATTAAGTACAATTTCAGAGTTCTTTCATGACTATTAAACTCCTGTAGCAATTTTATGTTCCCTTTTTAAGCTGGGATGAATCAAAACATGCATTTGTAAAGCTAAAATCAGACTAGTCTGAGAAATAAAAATCTTCAGTTATTTAATAAATTTGGTGTTGGAATACTTAGCTACTACTGGAAGAGCCAGAAAAAGCCTCTTACCAGCCTCACTGACTTCCTATTCTCATATTCCCAAGTGCACAGGCTCCAGCCCACCACATCAGCCAATGGCCCAGACTGTCATTTTAATTATTACAGATTTGAGGAATGCAGTACAGTGATTACAGTGGCAGCTTGGGATCCAGGGGTCCAATTACTCACTGTGCTGCAGACAGGCTGTCTGACTTCTGGTTTTACTTCTCTGTACCCTGTTTTCCCAGATGGAGTAATAATAGATGGGAACTTCAGAAAGACAATTGAGGATAAATACATTAAAGGCTGTGTGTTACTCAGCAGCTCCAGTACCAGCACTAAGTACCTAAAACACAGGATTTTAAGTGATTCCTCATCCTTATGGCTGCCTGCAGTGAAATGCTGAAAAGCACAATGAAATTAGGATCTCAAAAAAAAAAATCCTGGATGCACTGGGAATTGCAGCAGAATCTTGCAGTGAACTAAGAATGAGTGGGGGTAATGAGACTTGCTGTCCTAGAATAATTTTGTTATTAAGCTCAATTTGCACACCTTTGATTTTAGCAGGAAGGATGCTTTCAGAGTGCTGGTAAAAAGCACTTCTGTCTTCAGTTGGCTCTTTTTGCAAAGGTTCTGAGCAGGGAAACAGCCCTGATCAACAACCCCGGCACCAAATGCACAGAGCTGCACAAGAGCAGGTACTTCAATGGCACTTGAGCACGTGCTTTAAGAGAATCAAGTGTTTAAGTGCTTTGCTTTCCAAAATCCACGCTTTATTTGTGTCAGAAATCTGTTCAGATGAATGGAGCAGCTGAGACCTCTTCACAGTTTTGATTCAGGCAGCCAAGACATTTTGAAGGTTCCTTTTGCAAATGTAATTTGGAAAAAGACAAAAAGAAAAAAAAAAAAAAAAAAAGAAAGGCAGAAATGATCAG